CCCGGGGATGCCGCGGGGGCGGCGCGGCTGAGCCCCCCAGCCCCGCTGCGCCGCCGGCCCCGCCCGCCGCCGCCATGGCCGGTAAGCCCCGCAGCGGCTGCGAGGCGCTCCGGGTGGTGGCCCGGTGCCGGCCCATGAGCCGGCGGGAGGAGGCGGCGGGATACGAGCGCGTCCTGGAGCTGGACGTGAAGCTGGGCCAGGTGAGCATCCGCAACCCCCGCGCCGCCCCCGGGGAGCTGCCCAAGACCTTCACCTTCGACGCCGTGTACGACGCCAGCTCCAAGCAGGCCGATCTGTACGACGAGACGGTGCGGCCGCTCATCGACTCGGTGCTGCAGGGCTTCAACGGCACCGTCTTCGCCTACGGCCAGACCGGCACCGGCAAGACCTACACCATGCAGGGCGCCTGGGCCGAGCCCGAGAAGCGCGGCATCATCCCCAGCGCCTTCGAGCACATCTTCACGCACATCTCCCGCTCCCAGAACCAGCAGTACCTGGTGAGGGCCTCGTACCTGGAGATCTACCAGGAGGAGATCAGGGACCTCCTCGCCAAGGACCAGAGCAAGAAGCTGGAGCTGAAGGAGAACCCCGAGACGGGGGTGTACATCAAGGACCTCTCCTCCTTCGTGACCAAGAACGTCAAGGAGATCGAGCACGTGATGAACCTGGGGAGCCAGACGCGCTCGGTGGGCAGCACCAACATGAACGAGCACAGCTCCCGCTCCCACGCCATCTTCCTCATCACCATCGAGTGCAGCGAGACGGGGCCGGACGGCGAGGAGCACATCCGCGTGGGCAAGCTCAACCTGGTGGACCTGGCCGGCAGCGAGCGCCAGAGCAAAATGGGGGCCCACGGGGAGCGCCCCAAGGAAGCCTCCAAGATCAACCTCTCCCTCTCCGCCCTGGGCAACGTCATCTCCGCGCTCGTGGACGGCAGGAGCACGCACATCCCCTACCGGGACTCCAAGCTGACCCGCCTGCTGCAGGACTCCCTCGGGGGCAACGCCAAGACAATCATGGTGGCCACCTTGGGCCCGGCCTCCCACAGCTACGACGAGAGCCTCTCCACCCTCAGGTTCGCCAACAGGGCCAAGAACATCAAGAACAAGCCCCGGGTGAACGAGGACCCCAAGGACACCTTGCTGCGGGAGTTCCAGGAGGAGATCGTGCGGCTGAAGGCCCAGCTGGAGAAACGCGGGATGCTGGGCAAGAAGAGGAGAAGGAGCAGCCGGAGGAAGAAGGCGACGGACGGAGAAGGCACCGTGGAGAACGAAGGGGAGGACGACAACGAGGAGGGCCTGGAGAAGAACATGGAGAACTACTTGAAGGAGCAGAAGGAGAGGCTGGAAGAGGAGAAGGCCGCTATCCAGGATGACCACAGCCTGGTGAGCGAGGAGAAGCAGAAGCTGCTCCAGGAGAAGGAGAAGATGATCGAGGACCTGCGGAAGGAGCAGGAGGCCACGGAGCTGCTGGCCATCAAGTACAAGGTACGGGTCACCACCCGCCGTCACCGGCGAGGCCGGGGGAGAGACCTGCTGTGCCCCCAACCCCTCCCGGGGTGTGGGAGTGGGCCCCGAGCAGGGAGCCTGTGCCAGGAGCCCACCGGGGTGCCCGGGCAAGGGGGGCTCTCAGCAAGGTGCCCCCAAGAGCCCCTGACCCGGGCTGATGTGTGGGGCTGGGCCGGGGTTGCCCTCAGACACGGACGTGCGTGGGAACCCCGCGTGGAGCTGCAGGGAGGCGGCTGGGAAGGGCTCTGGGGGAGTGGGTCACTGGTGGCACGAGTTTGCTGTGCTCAGCTCCGGTCCCCCTCGGCACAACAAAGCAGCTCGTGGCAGGGAGGGGGAGTGACGGGAGTGATGCTGCAGATTCGTCCCCGTGGCACCGGGAGGTGCCCAGGGCTGGGGCTGGGGACACTGTGCACCTGCCCCCCGCCAGCCCCCCGGTTCTGCTGGGCTGGGCAGGGCTGGGAGCCCCTGGCACGGCCTGGCAGCTCTGCAGGGACCCCTGCCCCCCTCCCAGCCCCAAATCCTTCCTGGCACCCTGAGCTGGAGCAGGGTGGGTGGGGGCACGTAACGGGCACGGCCACCAGCTCAGGGATGCTCAGGGATGTGGGGCTGAGGGTGAGAGGGGCCATGGCAGCCCCAGCTGTGCTGGGGGTCTGGGGCTGCACCTCTGCCCCCACCCCAACCCTGCTGCTGTCCCCAGTGAGGCTGGGGGGCCCTGACCCACCCCACATGCCCTTGGCAGC